ATTATATCTAGTATAATAAGCACTATTTAGATCTAATTATACTATATATTAATAACATAATATGGATTCAAATAAAAAAATTATTATTATATTAATTAAATATTAAATATAATTGCTTAATTAAATTGTTAATTTTCAAAATTTTGTTAATTTACCGCTAAGTGAAAATATTTACCTTTAAAATTTAATAAAAAATTTAATGTCAAGTATTTTCAAGTATTTTTGAGTTAACTATTAAGTATTCAAGTTTTTGGATCTGGTCACCCTACTTATAACCAGTATTTGTAATGAAATATACATATGAAATCATTTATTTGTAAAATATTATTAACATTAATTTTAAACTCTACATTTTTAAAATAATAGTTATTAATAATTTGAATTGTATTTAGTTAATTAATTATAAAATTTTATTACCGGTAATAAATTATAAAATATATGCTTATGAAAAATAAGTAAATATATATCCTGTATATTATATAATTTTGGTAATAATATGAAATTACAATTTGTACTTATTTTATAAATATAACAAGGCAAAAAAATGTATGTCAGTTAATATTTGCTCAATAATATTAGCTTCAAGAATTATATTGACATTTCCAATTATAAATTATAAACATATGCATAATAAAACATATAATTTATGATAAAATATCCGGTACAGTTGTTGACATTTTAAATGTGCTACTTTTAACAAAACAAATTTCTTTAGTAATAATATAATTATTTAATAATCTAGTTTATATTAATCACTCAATTTTACAAAAATTAAATTGGTCATTATTAATTAAGCATTTTATTAATCAGATGTCAAATAAAATAAATTAATTATAAAAATACACAAAAAACACTTTCAAATATGTGTTTTTAAATAATAAATTGCATAAAAATATTAATCAACAAGCACACTAATTAAAAAAAGTTTATAAAATCATCTCTAATACTCATCATCATTATCGTCATCCCGGGAATCGACATCCAGTTCCTCTTCCTGTATTTTTTCTCTCAACAACTCTTTCAGGCGCTTCTCGTGTCTAATCAGCCGTTCCTCATACGCCTGATAGCGCCAGTAGTCTAAATTATAGGACGCCCCTCGGAGATCCCTTTCCAGTTCCCGGATTATCCTGAGCTCCCTGTCCAGTCGATCAGCCAATCCCCGGTTGGACTGTCGGTGACGGTTATAATGGGTCTCGTAATCGCGGATTAGGGGTCGGACTCGACCGATAAGTACGGACCGCCGGTAGTACTGCGCCTCAATCGCTGTAATATTATATATTTAAAAAATTATTGATTTTTACTTTAAATTGTATAACAATTTGTCAAAATGTCTATTAAAAATGTTTTTACTAGATGATATTTATGTCCAATTAATACAAAAGTTTATTTCAAATTAACATTCATAAGAAAGTTAATTTGAAATAAACTTTGGTATTAATTGGACCATAAATATCATCTAGTATAAACTTTAATAAAATAATTTTTATATTTTATAAATAAATAATTTAATTTATATTACCGCATATGAGGGCGGCCATGATGGCCAAGGCTAACAGTGCCGTTTTCATCCTAATTATTTTTACAAGTCAATAATAGTTTATACGAGATTATTACTTTTAAAATATTTTCAATTCCCTTTTATACAGTTTATAAAATAAAGTTTATTAATTCTTACGTAACTTACTATGAATTTCACAACAATTTGAACAACAATTTACAACATTGTTGACGTACAATAATTTTGTTCATACAATTAAGATCATCTATATCATACTAAAAGTAATTTAGCTACGATGGATAAATCTAGCTAGTTTAAAATTATATCTAAATAGATTTAGTTAGTGTATTATTTAGAAATATTTTGTTATTTTAAATATTTTAAATGAGTAAGATTAACATATTTTTATTAATATATTTGAAGTTTTTATAGTAAATTTGTTTGACTGTATTTAAATTGGGAAATTCAGTTGTACATATTCAATGGAAATCCAGTATATCCAATGTTTTTATAATGAATAATTATAGATAATTATCTTCGATGCACACTCGAGCCATTTGGGGCCACAATAGCGTTGAAACAACTTTTACATTTTATTATAGTAGTCGCAACACTAGTTTTTACTTTATCATTATCAACTTTATAGTAACTTTAACAGGGGATTAATATATTAGAGTGTAAATTAATTTTTAATTAATAATTATTAATCATATATGTTGGCACAAAAATCTATGCTAAACAAATCAAGGTTATACATTCAACCTAACCAAATAATCTTATTTTGTATTATTTTCTGTAAATTAAAACAAATTTTGTATTTATGATTGACTAATAAATTATTTTAGAATATTATTTACACTTTAATTTATAATTCATTTTACA